CAGTGTCTTCCATCTCATTTAGAAGCAAGATATAGATTGTCACTGTCATTGAAGTGAACAGAAGAACCCTTTTATGAACACTTTTAAAATAAGTTCGAAGTGTCTTGATTTTTTTTCCTCGTGTCAGGGGCGACTTGAGAAACTGCAAGTCACTTCTGGTGTGAACGAATTAGCAGTCTGCAAGGACGTTGCCCACGGGGCGCCCAGATGTTTTATCATCCTTGTGGGAGGCTTCTCTCATGTCCCCGCATGGAGAGCTGGAGCTGATAGAGGGAGCTCATCTGCGCTTTCCCTGGATTCGAACCTCCAACCTGTTGGTCTTCAGTCCTGCCGGCACAAGAGTTTAACCCATTGCGCCAATGGGAGCTCCAGTGTCTTGATGGGGTTTGTTGATTGACCTTGCAGCCCTATAAATATCTATGCTGAAGTAGGTGTCATTAACTTCAGAAGGTTATAAAATAAGTAAGGATAATTGGACCCTCCAGTGTTTGCTGAGACTCATGTCCTCACCAACATAATCAGTTTTAGTCCGCCAACACCTGAAGGGCCTCATGATTCTTTTCTCTGCTTTATGCTCTCATTCCCAAGTTCTGTTCTGGATTATGTGTCAATACAAAGTCATCTGTCTTAATTCCATTATTCCATTTATTTTCTTTCCAGTCGACTTTTCCCATTATGGACAGAAGATTGGGCTGGATAATAAACAGATGTAGTCATTATTCTTTTGCTTTATTTTCCTCTGTTTGTTAGCTCTTTGAAAAACTAATAATAGATTAACAACAGGAAAATAGGATAATATATTTGGCATAGTTATTGCAAGTGCAGAATTTTAATGTATTACTTCCTATAAATTCGGAAAATTTATGTCTTAAGACATTTGAAACGTAATGTCTTACATATAGCTGAGAATACAGGATAGGTGTCATTTGTACAGAGAGATGTTTACTTTGTGATAGTAAAGTAAATAGGAGTAACTTTATTTGAATGAAACAGTCGTTGAACAGTGTTTTAAGGGATTATTAGCACCACTTAAATAAGTTTGCCATTTTAATCACCTTTCTCTCAGTTTAATAGTATTTAGTCCGTAATGCAGCCATAACCTTGTTGTTTGGTGTCTTCAAGTCAACTCTGACTTATATTGACACTATTGTAGGGGATTTTTGGCAAGATTAATTGAGAGATTTGCCATTGCCTTCCTCTTAGGCTGGGAAAATGTCACTCGGTGGAATTAGAGTTTGACTCCTGGTCTCCAGGAATAATATTCCAACTCTCAAATCACTACACTATAAGCTATAATTGTCCAAGTCATAGGAGGAGTAAAAAGACTATCTTAGACTTGCTCCTTCTTTCTTCTTCATGGTGTCTGTGAAATCTCACATGAGTCTTCAGCTCATGTGCGCAGCTGTTTGGAACCTTCAGATGTTATCTTAAAAACTGGGGAATCATAGAATCATAGAATCAAAGAGTTGGAAGAGACCTCATGGGCCATCCAGTCCAACCCCCTGCCAAGAAGCAGGAATATTGCATTCAAATCACCCCTGACAGATGGCCATCCAGCCTCTGTTTAAAAGCTTCCAAAGAAGGAGCCTCCACCACACTCTGGGGCAGCGAGTTCCACTGCTGAACGGCTCTCACAGTCAGGAAGTTCTTCCTCATGTTCAGATGGAATCTCCTTTTTTGTAGTTTGAAGCCATTGTTCCGCGTCCTAGTCTCCAGGGAAGCAGAAAACAAGCTTGCTCTCTCCTCCCTGTGGCTTCCTCTCACATACATGGCTATCATATCTCCTCTCAGCTTTCTCTTCTTCAGGCTAAACATGCCCAGCTCCTTAATCCGCTCCTCATAGGGCTTGTTCTCCAGACCCTTGATCATTTTAGTCGCCCTCCTCTGGACACATTCCAGCTTGTCAATATCTCTCTTCAATTGTGGTGCCCAGAATTGGACACAATATTCCAGGTGTGGTCTAACCAAAGCAGAATAGAGCGGTAGCCTTACTTCCCTAGATCTAGACACTATGCTCCTATTGATGCAGGCCATAATCCCATTGGCTTTTTTTTGCCGCCACATCACATTGTTGGCTCATGTTTAACTTGTTGTCCACGAGGACTCCAAGATCTTTTTCACACGCACTGCTCTCAAGCCAGGCATTGTCCCCCATTCTGTATCTTTGCATTTCGTTTTTCCTGCCAAAGTGGAGTATCTTGCATTTGGAAGGTGAGATATTCTCACACAGTCAATAACTTGACTTCTAGAAATTCTTCATAAAACTATACATTACACAGTGGTTCCTTTTGTAGAGACTAAAACACATGTTGAAGGTCACAGAGTATATATGATCCTGTTGACAGTAAGATAGGACATATTCTGTTCTTAAATATGTGTTGGAAGACACACTGTGGAAATAATGATGAAATCTGTAGAGTAAACCTGAAATATTTTGTGACCATCTGTTTGTACAAAATTATGTCATTATATTTAAACAAAAACATTATGGGAATGTGCATGGGGAATAGTTTAGGCCTAAGGGTTTCCTTTCCGTTAAGGCACATAAATTTAGTGAGGCAAAACTATGGGGTAGAAAGAAGAAAAATATTTTTGTTCCATTTTATAAAATGTTATAACTAATTATATATCCATTTATAATTTGAATTTGTCCTTGAATAAAATTTGTCTTTTATATGAATACTAAAATGTCATCTTAGGACTTATCTAAAGCAGTGAAAAAACTTGTAGACCTTTAACATTTGCAATGCACCTTTGTCTTCTCAAAGGGCCGGCATTGCAGTAAATGAGATATCCATTCAGGAAGTCCTTCAGATCAACTCATTATGGCTGGAATTTGCAGCATGCTTTCAAGAGAGGGCCTATTGAAAAAAAATTGAACCTTGTCACAGGATTAAGAAAAGAATTCTGGTTAGTAAGATGAATCTCAACTTCCAAGAACAGTTGTGGAGCCAAACAGCTTCATTAGTTTCACAACTAAAGTTAATTTCCCTTAAGTCAAACTGGCTAGAGTAAACCTGGAATATTTTGTGACCATCTGTTTGTACAAATATTTTATGTGTTTTTTATGACAAAAATTTTCCATGCAAGATAGTTTAGCGCACCTTGGTCAAAAGAAGAAATTAAAGTAATGTCTATTTTTTTTAAAAAAAGCATAGATTTTGCTATGGGTTGGTTTCTGTGAAAGTTCTATAAAAACTTCAGGAGACTTGTAGTGTCCATATTCTATACTAAATTTCATAATTTTCTTTATGCTGGTCTAACACATAGTGTCAAACTAGGCTGATAATTGTTCTTAAATTAGATAATAAAACCATGCAATCAGGATATGTCCAGAATAAAATGCTGTTAAGATTTTCTTTGTAGACTTCTCAATTTAATTCAACATTTGCTATAATGGGAATAGCATTTCAGAGCCTGTGAAATAATTGGTGAGCCATCACTTGCCAGGTTGTCATGACAGGGGATGGCTGGAGTGGGGCCAGCTTTTTAAGTTTGCTGTTATTATTTTTTTACCATACTTCAGTTGAAAAGAAATATCCAACACCAGCACAAGATGCTGGTGTGGGCAGTAGGTCCAGTTCTGTATCCTCATTATGGAACAGAAAGAGTTTTAGATCCAGTGTGTTCAACAATATCTCCAGCTTCCCTCTCAGGTAGCAGTGAGACAGTTCATCCCATCTTAATATTCACCAATGATAGGATTTAAGGGTTAAGATTGTTCCCTAAGACTCCAGTGTCAAGTCTTAAGTATGGATTCATATCGGCCTCTGATGATTCTTAATTGGTCTACTTGGGAAAATGACTGTGCGAACAGGATATGAGTGTGGCTATAAGATATTGCAGCTAAAACATAAGCACATGGATACAGTTCTTGTTTAATACAGATCTGTCAGGGTCACAATGAATGATAGCCTTCTGTCTCCTCCAGTCGTTTGCTGTTAGCAAATGCCTGCAAGCATCCTGAAATCAGAAGAATAATAGTTAATGTCTAGTATAAGATAATTCCTGGTGTTTTTCCCCCCCTGATCATTATTTTTTGAAATGGAGCAACTGCTTGCTTAAAAATTAGCTATGGTAAATTATGAGATGATTGGGCTGAATGCATCAGAATACATATAACATCAGCATTATCACCAGCACTTGCATATATCAATATTTATTCAGAGCACATTGAGAGATTGCTGGATGGTACTAACTTTCTTTTAAGTTCTAGAAACCTCAGTTTAGAGCAGTGGTTCTCAATCTGTAGGTCCCCAGGTGTTTTGGCCTACAACTCCCAGAAATCCCAGTCAGTTTACCAGCTGTTAGGATTTCTGGGAGTGGAAGGCCAAAACCTCTGGGGACTCACGGGTTAAGAACCACTGGTTTAGAGCATGAATCAATCAGTTGAAACACACTTTTCAACTGTCCTCCATGACTAGGCAGCACTACCACTGTAAAAATGATATTTCATAATCTTTAGTGCTAAGAAAACTGTGACATATAAATGCATTCAAGTATATATTTATAGGCAATAATATATATAGGTGGCTCAACAAACGAAGAGACTTTTGCATCCTACAATTTAAAACAGTACTACAATCCATACTCAGTTAAACAGTTTTTCTATTTAATATAAAATACAAATCAGGTGCAAAATCCTCCTGTAAAAGACCCATGGTTGAAGATACCACCCCACCCAAATAATTTTATTACATCTTACAATCTTTAGAAATCATTTCTGAGATTTCTTTTGGCATCAGTTTCCATGGAGGTGAGTCTTTATCATTTAGGGAACAAGGTCAGTATCAAACTGCATCAGCAGATGGGTGTTTGTCTGACATATGCTAATTATGGAAGCCATCATGATTCACCTCACTATTAATTCTATGTCAAGAGTCTGGGAGAACAGATGTCCCTTGTAAAGTTATACTATCTAGTGATTTTAAAGTAGGGCTCTTTAAATGGCTGTGGAATGCAGAGCCTGGTAACTTCAGTCTCTTTTCTTCCCCTTCCAGGCATCCTAGGATACACATCAGGACAGGGCTGATGGACGCTCATCTGTACTGCTTGAAGAAAAGTGTGGTAGACTTCCTTGTAGAGAACAGGTAAGGAAAGGAGCCTGAGGCCTAAAGCGCATGAACCTTTTAAAGTACTTCAATTACACACATTGCAAATTTTCCCTGCTACAGTTAATATGCTTTAAGATCATTCATATTTTTCTGCTTTAAATATCATCACGCATACTTTGATCTGAAACTGAACTTGGATATATTTTCGTAATACCCTACAGGCATTCCTCTAACAAGGTGTATGACATTGCATAGAGTGCATTGTAGAATTTCTGATATATTTTCTGCACATTTGGTCCATGTGCACATTTCTGCTCCTGTTTACATCCCAAACTGAGCTTCCCTTGCAGTAACTATCTTTGAAACAAACAAATGAACAAAAAAACCTTTTGATGTATCTCCTTCTTGAAGTTATACGCAACGATCTTCATTTTGCAAGGTAGTCTCTTCTAAACCATTTGGCAGACCTTTGCTAATCTTCCAACCTTATATTAGCAAGGAAAAGGTCTACACAAGGATCAAATAATGGACTGGAGGAAGGAACTTCTTAATCAAAAGGAAGTCAGTGGCACCAGTACTAAAATATACAGGAGGAATCAACTATGACGTCTTTATTATTATTTCAAGGCATTTGCAATTCAAAGGAAATATGTGGTGAGGGTAGCAGCATTTACAAAAATGAGATGCAACCTTCTACTTTCCACAGCTTTTAAAGCAGCCATTTGTATAATTAAGAAAATACATTTTCTTTAGAAGACATACCTGTGTAATTACCAACAAGTTCCTTTCTGCAGTCCTGGTAACTGCAAGTTCTGATCTTCCTGGATAGAAACAGAAAGCCAAAACGAACTTTGTATCCCTGTTGTTCTGCCTTCACACCCGACAGGCAAGTGTACCCCTATTTTTCAGGCAGTGCCTCTTGTTAACGCTGAGTTGGAGAGGAATAGTGGAGGCCAGAGACACAGTGCCTGTTTGTATGCCACTGAGTTACTAAAATAAAGTGTATAAAGCTTATATTTATGACTACAACTTCCATAATTCCTTATGCTGACTAGCGGATTCTGGGAGCTGTAGTCCAAAACTATCTTAAGGTCTGCCTTATGCTCTCTTTCAAAAATGCAGCATGAAATCATGACTTTTCAGGAGCTGCCGAATTTCACATTTCACAGTCCTGGATGACATGAGCAAAATTAAGAAGGAAGGCTACAGAACTCCTTTGGGTTAACAGGGAAACATCTATAGGACTTCTGTTCTCTGGAATAAATCAAATATGAAGCAAGTTTACTCAGCATGAATGCCAGGTAATTAACTCTAATTGAGAAGACTAAAACAAGTTTCGTAGACACTTGAAATTAAAGCCAAAGCCTTCAGCCTGTGTTTTTATATCACTTGTAACTCCATGCTCAAAAGCAGGAGCAGCAGATTATGACACTCAGGCAACAATCTTTGTGCCATTTTAGAGAAGCATAATATGCTTTTAATTTTTCTTCAATCATATCTGTTGAGTCTTCTTTGTTCACTAATAACATGGATATATTTTCATTCCATTTGTCTATGTGTTGTTTTGTTCATCTGTGAATCCTTCCCCTCCCTAAATAAACCTTGCATATGGACTCTCATTGATACATCCTGTATTTGTAACTTGTGGTGTTTCAACTGAAGTGGAGACCACCCACTTAGAGGGAGACAAATATCCATTTATGGAAGAAGAGAGTGATGCAAGCTATGATGGTTTTTCAGGAAAAAGTTAGTGCATTTGTCTTAAAGTGGAGCAGTACAAAGCTTGAGTCCAAGGACTTAAACTTTCAGTGCCACCTGGTATATTTATTGCTGTAATTGAGGCAAGATGTCTCCCTGACTACCCACATCCATTTGAAATAAAATCCGAAGAGTTCGCAATTTTAGGAGGTATTCTTTTATTTTAAAAAATTAAAACAAACTAGTAAATGTGGACTAGACAATACTGTTAGGTGGATTTTCAATTGGTTAAGAGTACTCACTAATGATTCTTCTTTATCCTGGAAAGAAGTGACTAGTAGAGTGCCACAGGGCTCTGTCCTAGACCCAGTGCTGTTCAACATCTTTATGAACGACTTGTTGAAGGTTTAGAGGGCATGCTTATCAAGTTTGCAGATGACACTAAATTGGGGGGAGGGAGGAGAAATAGATAAAACTTCAGAAGACAGGATCAGAATTCAGGATCATTAGCATATAATAGACTTGGGCTAAAACTAACAAAATGGAGGGGTTTTTTAATTTAAAAGTTTTTATTGAGTTGATTAAATTATAGGTAATCAGGTACACATGATGTTGTTGTTGTTCATTCGTTCAGTCGTCTCCGACTCTTCGTGACCTCATGGTGTGTGACACTAACAAGGTTGTTTGTTGTTCATTCGTTCAGTCGTCTCCGACTCTTCGTGACCTCATGGACCAGCCCACGCCAGAGCTCCCTGTCGGCCGTCACCACCCCCAGCTCCTTCAAGGTCAGTCCAGTCACTTCAAGGATGCCATCCATCCATCTTGCCCTTGGTCGGCCACTCTTCCTTTTGCCTTCCACTTTCCCCAGCATAATTGTCTTCTCCAGGCTTTGCTGTCTCCTCATGATGTGGCCAAAGTACTTCAACTTTGTCTCTAGTATCCTTCCCTCCAATGAGCAGTCGGGCTTTATTTCCTGGAGGATGGACTGGTTGGATCTTCTCGCAGTCCAAGGCACTCTCAGAACTTTCCTCCAACACCACAGTTCAAAAGCATCTCTTCCTTCGCTCAGCCTTCCCTAAGGTCCAGCTCTCACATCCGTAGGTGACTACAGGGAATACCATGGCTTTGACTATGCAGATCTTTGTTGCCAGTGTGATGTCTCTACTCTTTACTATTTTATCGAGATTGGACATTGCTCTCCTCCCAAGAAGTAATTCTCTTCTGATTTCCTGGCCACAGTCTGCATCTGCAGTAATCTTTGCACCTAGAAATACAAAGTCTGTCACGGCCTCCACATTTTCTCCCTCTATTTCCCAGTTGTCAATCGTTCTTGTTGCCATAATCTTGGTTTTTTTAATGTTTAGCTGCAACCCAGCTTTTGCGCTTTCTTCTTTCACCTTGATTAGAAGGCTCCTCAGCTCCTCCTCGCTTTCGGCCATCAGAGTGGTGTCATCTGCATATCTGAGGTTGTTAATGTTTCTTCCAGCAATTTTCACCCCAGCTTGGCATTCATTAAGCCCCGCACATCGCATGATGTGTTCTGCATACAAATTTAAAAGGTTGGGTGAGAGTATGCAGCCTTGCCGTACGCCTTTCCCAATCTTGAACCAGCCTGTTGTTCCGTGGTCAGTTCTTACTGTTGCTACTTGGTCCTTGTACAGATTCCTCAGGAGAGAGACAAGGTGATTTGGTATGCCCATCAGATTTTCAATTTCTCCAAACAAGTACATTGCAATATTCTAACAGTTTTTCCTCCTGCCCCCCATTACAACAAAACTGATAATATTAATTTCAACAAGGAGAATGTAGGCAGAAAACTTAGGCAGAAAAAATGAAATGCACAGATACAGGATGGATTACACCTGGCATAACAATAATACATGAGAAAAAGATCTTGGGAGTCTTGTAGACAGCAAGTAGAACACGAGCAAACAATATGATGCAGCAGCTAAAAATGCCAATGGAATTTTGGGCTGTATCAAAATGATTATAGTGTTTACATAAAGGGAAGTAATGGTGCCCCTCCTATTCTACTTTGGTCAGAACTCACCTGGAATACTGTGTCCAGTTTTGGGCACCACAATTCAAGAGGGATATTGACAAGCTGTCCAGAAGAGAGCAACTAAGACGATCAAAGGTCTGGAGACCTTGTACTGTGAAGAGTGGTTTAAAGAGCTGGGTATGTTTAGCTGGCGGAAGAGGAGGTTGACATGATCACCGTGTTTAAGTATTTGAAATGAAGGAAGAAGGAGCAGGTTTGTTTTCTGCGGCCCTGGAGACTAGGACTAGGAGCAATAGGTTCAAATTACAGGAAAGGAGTTTCCACCTGAACATGAGGAAGAACTTCCTGACTATAAGAACTGTTCAGCAGTGGAACTCTCTTCCTTGGGGTGTGATGGAAGCTTTTTCTTTGGAGGCTTTTAAACAAAGGCTGGATGGCTATCTGTCAGGGTTACTTTGATTGTGCTTTTCCTGCATAGGAGGGGGTTGGACTGAATGGCCCATGTGGTTGCTTCCAAATCTTTGATTCTAAAATCGTGAATGTGGTGCTCCAGGCAGGTGACACACCTAAGATATTATGTTTTCATTCAATAGTCAGTGAAGGAAGATAGGTCATTGTCCAAAATACTCCTACGTGCAAGATGTTCCTTTAGTGTAACACACTAAAATGGTAAACGAGCTTGTCTTCCGTTTATGTTTTAATCTTTAATGCTGAACTGCTTTATTAGACATGTTTGTTCCAGTGACTGACATACAACATTGCAATCACAGCTGTGGGATTGCACTATGTGCCCTATGTCCACTATGTAGGACATAGTGCAAAGAGTAATTAGAAGAGCCCTCTGTTGCTTATATGAGACAGCTTAGTTTGGAGTGTGTCAAGAGTACTCAATAGCGCATGAGACACCAATTGGAAGCAAAGTGTATTTTTTCAGCTTTCTTCTCTTACTATTTATGTGACTGTGTCACCAACCTGACTTTACATTTTTACCATGTTTTTCAAAACAGCAGCAAAAATCTGATCAACAACATTTGCAAAGTAAACATTTAGTTTCAGAAGGTATTTTTCTGAGATCTTTTGACAAGGAAGGAAATAACTGAAAAATATTTCTTCCCAGTGGACCATAAGCTAATTTTGTTTTAAAAAAACATCTTGTAGAATGCTTGGTTTCCATAAAATAAGAGTGCCTTCAGTATACAAAGTGATAGGAGGAATTGTTTGTACTTTCAGGCTTATAACTACTTTTGCTAACCATATACGATTCAAACTTCTTTGGTTTTAAAGTTATCTGCAATCTCTTTTCATATAAATATGTTGTTTTATCTCCTGTTCTTAG